ATAAATATTTTAGGTTAAAAAGAAAAACCTGATCTAATTTAATGAATCAATCTTGTTAAATTACTTTATTCCTCCATGAAAAAAACTGTCTAGGTATAAAATCTTAAATCACCTTTTATTCTTTCATCTGACAGATCTTACCACAATTATATCATAGTGAAATCTCCTTGAAAGGGTGTTAGGGATCAAGATAACGTTGTAAACTAACATCTTTAGCTTTTGAAAATTATGACATGATTTATTACATCAGAATCCGTAACCATATATAACTCTACCAAAGCTGGGTTCTTAAACAATTTCTCTGCAATTACCTAACCCTCAAAAAACCATCATTAATTTGGACAAAAATAATCTGAAATATGTGCTAGGATGACAACTTACCTTGTAAATGATAAAGAACTTGTTAAGAAAAGACTATAAGTAATTTTCAAGTGTCTTATACTATTCATTTACATCATACAATGTAAAGAATGCAATTAGACTTAAATTTCAATTCCTTGTTCTCGATTAATATGCCCCTGGGTTAGAAAATAGAAAATATTTTGTTTATCTAGTTCCAATTACAAGTACATGACTTGCTCAAGGCCACGTAGTCAGTCAAAAGAAAGGTGACAAATCAACTATACTTCAATTAAAAAAAAAATCAACTATACTTCAACTAAAAAAAAAGAAAGGTGACAAGAATCGGCATATTCTGATTCCCCGACCCATCAGTTTGTTTTATAATTAGTCAACAAACTATATTTATATCAATGAAGGTACTTTTATTTCTTAATATACCTGAAGTGTTTCACAATTTAATTAATTTTTTAAAAATACCCAAACTGGGGCTTCCCTGGTGGCACAGTGGTTGAGAGTCCGCCTGCCAATGCAGGGGACACGGTTCGTGCCCCGGTCCGGGAAGATCCCACATGCCGCGGACCGGCTGGGCCCGTGAGCCATGGCCGCTGAGCCTGCACGTCCGGAGCCTGTGCTCCGCAACGGGAGAGGCCACAGCAGTGAGAGGCCCACGTACCGCAAAAAAATAAATAAATAAATAAATAATTAAAAATAAAAATACCCACACTGAACTGTTTGATTGTACCCCAAACTCGGTGCCCACCATTCACGACCTACTACAATCTGGCCCCTGTCCTATTGCTTCTCTTCCCTTCCAAACTCTATTCTCAAACTATATCGAACAATTTGTAGTTCACAGCACATAACAAACTGCTTTTGCCTCTTTCTTTATGCTAATGCTAAAGAAACAGCTAAATAGACATTTTCCTAGTGGATTCTTTTTTTACATTAATAAACCAACAAATTCATAAATGAACACACTATCCTTTGGGCCCCCATGTACCATGGATAAGTGTCAATCTTAACACCCAAAACACTTTAATACTTTTATTGGCGTTCCAGCCTGTCTTTCCCTGTTAGACGAAAAAGCCCTCAGGAACAGGGTATTCCAAATATCAAGCTCCTATGTGCTTATATTAATGAAGTCCAACAAAATAAAATTTTTAAAACAGCCAACCACCATCCCCCAACAAATACATAATACAAGGTAAAAAAACAGAAAACCCAGAGTGGAAGTCAGACTTAATGCATTAAAATTTTAATCTTAACTCCGCAATTAAACTGGAGTCAGTGCTTGAAATGTAAACACCTTTCACGGTAAATAAACTGATAATTCATAACTGGCTCACATCTCAGTACGGTTCAAAAGAAGCTGAAGTGTAACACATAGTTCACAGAACAGGAAAAGAAAACAGCTTGTTAATTATATGAAAAGGTGTCCAATCTCACCCAAAACATTTTGAAGTCAGTTGAAGCTATCCCTATATACTTTTTTTCAGATTAGATTTTTAAAAGTTGATAACACTTTGTGCTAGTGGAAGTGTGGGAGAATAAATTGCTGGTTGCTGTGAAACGTTTATTGACTGATATAGCCTCTATGGAAGGCAATTTGGCAATACCTATCAAAAGTTTGAATAGCTTAGTAATTCTACCTCCAGGAGTTTATCCTACAAATATCACACGTGTGAAAAGATCTATATGCTATTCCTTAGAGCACCTTTTGCATTAGCAAAAGATTAGAAACAAAGTAAATATATATGGAAAATAAATTATGACACATTCATATACTACAAAACTGTGCAATCTGATGAGGAAAAGTTAGGAAATTTTTTATGTACAAACACAGAATGATTTCATATCAGCAAAGCAAAGTGAAAAATGACATAGAATATTTAACTTTTGCATAAAGGAGAGGAAATAAAGAGAGCATATATTTTCATATATATTGTTTTACAAGCATACTATCTTTCTGGCAAGATACACAGGAAACATTACATTGGAATTGTAGTTCTCTTTGAGGAAGGGAAACAGCTGGGGAACAGCTACACATAAATCATATATATATATATATATATATATATACACATACACACACACACAATACACACACTTCAAATTATCCTGTATTTTTTAAAAAGGCAGGAAAAAAGTTTCACTTAAATATCCTCACTTTAAAAAAAAGAACAAAAGAAAAAAAATCCTCACTTAAGTAACAAATTCAACTAAATACAGAAAAGATATTCACAACAGAATTAGATATTATAAATGCAACATTTTAAATAAATGTCCTCACTATAGTGACACATATTAAACTTATATGACAATAAACTCCAAAGAACCAAATTAAAATTTTACTTTTTTCATTCATCTCTAACCCCATCATTACACAAGATAAGAGAACTTACTCATGTTGAGACCATAGGTTTTATCCAAAGAGCACTAGTAAAATCCCACTGATTAGTAAACCAAACATAATTCCAAAAACAGTTATTAGACTATTTTGCATCAACTCAGCAAATAAGAGTAAGAAAATTTTTCTTCAGTATTTATGAATAGGAATTGTGGCTAACAGCATAAGAAATTAAGTCCTAGATAGGAAAAAAGCTCTTTATTTTACAAACTTCACAATATGCCAAAGAGGGCTTCAAACTTATATGTGTAAATCAAATTTTAATACACCAGGCCATATTTTCAAAGGACTAAGAAAGCTCACTAGTCTTTTGTGAATGTATAGACCAATTTTGGTCTTTTTTTCCTAATGATAAAAACCCTGTCATCATCTACTTGTTCATTAAGCAAGAAGCCATTTTACATATATATATATATATATATATATATATATAACCATTATATACTTCAACTTTTACCTTCCAACGAACACGTCTTGCTTTCATCTGTGAGATTTTTTTAAATTTATGCCACTGTATTTCCTACAAATGACAGCATGAGGATCTTGCCAAAAAGGACTATCCTACTGCACAGCTCAGTCACAATTTACACATAAAAATGAAGATTAACAAAATAAGCCTCTAATTTATCAAACTCTGTGCTATAATAAACTGGAGTTACATCAGGCTTTGGTATATTTTTCAGATTTTAAGGCAAACAGGGTAACAAAAGTAGACACAGCAATAATATCCATTCCAATTACTTCTTAATTGAAGTTAATTCACAAAATAACCTTTAGGTATTCTCTACATAGAAAAAGCACAATTCAATAAATAAAATCTCAACCATACAACAAGCTGAATAATAAGAGGGCTCCTCTGCATCTCAGATATGCTATGTACCTTCAGAATAACTTCATTAATATATAAAGGTCAGATAAATCAACCACCACCAATACTAATTGATAATACACTTGTAAGCAGAAATGTATCATTTGTTGTCACATAAAACCAACATTAGGTGAAAAACCATAGGTGTCTATTACTCAAGATCTTAAAAGAACTTAAGATATCTGGTCCAGTGGTTCTGAATCCTAGATGCACATTAAAATCACTCTGGGACTGCAAAAAAATACTAATGTCAACTCGCTCAGAAATGTGGGATTAAGTAGTTTCTTTTTCTTTTTTAAGTCCTCAGTGATTCTAATATGTAGCCAGGAATAAGAATTGCCAATATCTCAGATTACAGATGATCCTGAAGGTTATTCTACAAACCTTTAAGATCAGTTCTCCCTTTCAGATCTATCTACCTATGGAAAAGTGAATTCTACATACTTCATCTGAATTTTTAGTAACCCCACTTTACAGCATTTACACATGTTAGAATTTCAAATTTCAAGCACAGGGTAATTCATATCCCCCAGCGTTAATGGGGCTGTTGGAGACTTCTCAAAAGTGTTGACAGACCGTACTCCCAAAAGAGGAGGCGGGTCAACCAATAACAGAGGTCTGATTACAGAAGTAGTGCGATAGTGAAAAGCATACTTTACGGCCAGTCAACTCTGGTTCTGCTACACAGTGTTAACTGAAACCTGAGTCTCCTCACCTGTAAAACTGTAATCAACACTTACCTCCTCAACAGATATTAACGAGCTAAAATACCTAACTTTGTACCTGGCGATAATAACGGCTCAATTTCCTAAAAATAAGCTAATTAATGCCTGTTGGGCTTAACTAAAAACAGAGGGCCTGGGGAAAGACCAGCCCAGGTCACTCTCCGAGGCCCATGAGCTCCTTTTCACAAAGGTCCCCGTTGGCGACTCCAAGCAGAGGACTAGCGTGACCCGAAGACCAGGTAACCTCAGGCCTGCTGGGATAAAGGTCCGGAGGTGAGGGATAGGCTTGTAAAGCCGAGACGGGCCAGAGGCCGCGCATCCCGCCCAAAAAATGCCAGGGCCGCGGTGCTGCCGCCAGATCTCCGGGATAAACAGAAGGGAGGCCGATGGTGGAGAACAGAGCACGCAAGGTCCCTCACCTTCACCACGGCCGTCCCCCGGCTGCCCTGACGACCACTGTCTAGTCCCGCTCCAGGCTTGTTTACAACCAGGGTAGCCATCCTAGGAGGAGCAGCGCCGCAGAAGCAGCGCTCAAGGCCTTCACCTGATGGGCGGGGTAGAGCCACCTACCCAGAAGCCTCGGCGCTCGACGCTGGGGCACAGGCGCAGTACTACGCGGGGAGCTGCTGGGACGGTCTCTTCGAGCATCCTCCCGCCAGCCGCTAGGTGTTTGGGTTCGCAGGCCTGTGCGTGGGCACTTTGTTATTTTTTTAATTGTTATTATTGAGGAGTCTGAAATAGATGGAAGGAGTAAAATTAAGAGAAAAAAGAAAGGATAAAACAAAAGTAAAGTTTTGGGGTGAAATTCCCGCTCCAGGACCTTTTCTCCCCAGCTGCAAAACGAACGGGGGCGAGAGGGGACTACATGTCCCTGCATGCCCTGCGGCTTTTGAACTACAAGTCCCAGCATGCCACATCTCTATCATTTACTGCAATGTAGGTATTTGGGAGGCCCTGAATTGTCACCGAGGAGTGGTTTTTTGAAGTCGCGGTGTGTGATTGTGACTGGAAAATAGAGAAGTATTTTATGTATAGGTCTCTAAGAGGCAAGAGATGGCTTTGGTAAAAAAGCCGTTGGGTTCCTAAAGGACTTGGTAAGAAGAGAATTTAAGGCACCCCCGGCAGAGAGAAACTTGGGAGTGTGTTTGACGCCCTGTCTTCCCGAACGTGCGCTTTTCTGTCTTCTTCCGAGCTGATTGACCCTTTTCAGCCCCCGTAGGCAGTGGGTCCAAAGTACCGGTCAAAATGGAAGTGAATCCCCCCAAACAGGAGCACCTGCTGGCCCTGAAAGGTAAACTTTTGCGAACCCGACTCCCTTTAATCTGTTTTCTCCCTTTCTCTCACTAGTTCTCGAAGCCTTTGACACATAGACCTGGCCTCTGGGATATAGGCCTCGTCCTTCTTAAACACTGTCAATGCTCGCCCTCCTGCTTGGTTCCTTGGCGCCGAGCGAAAGGAAACTATTTCTCCTCTTTGCTTTTCAGGTTTGAGAGCCCCCGTTAGAATGGAATAGATACCTGGTAAATTACTTACTCTGTTACATGCTGCTCTGATTTTAGCCGCAGATGCTGATGTCCCCACCCTACGCGGGGAGAGCCTTGTGAACCGAGATGATTAACAGCGGGTATATAAAGTGGTTTTTCCTTCTGTCTCTTGTCTCTTCATGTGGCAATGACAAAGTTACCAGGCTTCAGCTTCATCTGTGAAATTAGTCTAGTATTGTGCCAAGGATTTAGAAGTACATAGTACTACAACATGTAATTTAGGTATGTTAAAACTCACTGTTTACGTCAAAGTATTGTGTATAGGGGGAAATTCATGTCGGTTTGCATACACAGCAAACAGTTTTGAGTAAGTTTGATGATTTAATTGGATCATTATTTAGGGGAAATGAGCAGGGCATTCTTTTTCTGGAATTCTTGTTGTTTTGTGAAACCTTTTATTTGAAACGCTTTCAGCTTTATTTCATCGGTTTTCTACTACCGCAAATGCACTTATTTCTTGGATGCCCTACTCAGTGGTTACCAATATCTTCTTGGACTGAGCTGAAAAGATGCTCGATAGACATGTGAACTCAAGTGAATAGCACTTAACCTTCCTTGTGGGATCCATTTTGAGGGACCCTTATCCCCTTAGTTATGTTGTAAGCATCAAACCTTCCCGAAGCTCACCAGTTTCATTTGAAGCATAAAATCATATGCTGATAGTTGGGGTTATCAGAACTGTCTCTGACTGTAGAACTAAGAAACTAAAATATTAACTAATGTAATAGCAATAGGACCTGTGAGCTTAGCCTGGACTGAAATGGCTTATTCCTGAAGAAAGAAGAGAAATTGTCATGTTCTTTATCTCAGACTCATATGTAGTATGTGAAATATATATTACTTAACTCTCAGAAGTTAAACTTTTTCAAGATCGCACAGCTAGTAAGTGATTGAGGTAATATTTCAACACAAGGCCTTCATCTTTCCAAGACTCCATGTTGCCTCCTAATGAAGGAAAGAGCATTTTCAGATATCATTCCATTAGTAGTTTGATGGAAATTTAGAGCAGTTCTGTTAGCTGCTAGGTATCATTTTATACAAATTGGAAGCTATTAAATACAGTTAAATTCCAGTGATGTGCAGGCTAACTGCCGTAGTCCTTTTAGGCTGCTAGAGTAGTCTTTCCCAGGTATCTTCTATTTTCCAAAACAGAAGGTTCCTGGAGAAGAGTATTTTAGCAACCTAAAAGGACAAGTGCTTTGAAATTCAGTGTTAGTTTCAGCTTTCTTAAAGCTCTTTGGCCCCATTCTTCCCCACTGTTCAAGCTATCCAAGAGTTTTCACAAGTTTTAATTTTACCTATGTTGGATGCCAAATATATCAATTTGTCTTGTCATATAAGTTTACTTTCATGTGTATGTAAAGTATTAAGGAGCTCTCACAACATCAGTGTCCCTGGAATACAACACTGAGTTCAGACAACAATGAAAGAATTCTCAGTGGCATGTCTTAAAATGTGAAAATGTAAGGAAAAGGGAAGAAAAAATAAAAACATTATTAATTCTTGAAAGAATATGCTATCTATATTTAGATCCATATTAAAATTATGGATGTTAAGGAACACAGTCATTTATGAATTTGAGTTGCCAAATCTGTCAGTCAGTGGACATTAACAGTAAGGAAAAGAATTATTATGAGATTGGTTACTTCTTTTGACTTTCAGAGTCAGTAGTTAAATGAGTATTGTGACATCATGCCAAGGAGACCCCACTCACAGTCATCCGGCAATGGGAGAACCCCCGTCAAGTAGTTCTCTAATGATTTTTGGAAGAAGGGATTTGACCTCTTGTTTTTTTCTCTGGTAGCTAGGATTTGAAAGAACCTGCATTATGGCTCAGGCAACTTTGGGCCCGATTAGGAAACCTAACTTACAGATCCTGGTAGGCTCCATTCTTGAGCCTGTGTACTGTATGCTGGAACTTCTTATTGATGACTTAATTTGGGGCAACTTGAAGACGTCTGTGTTCTAAGAGGAAAAAAAGTAAGGCTCTAGTCTTCTTGTTCATCCTCCAAATTGGAATTCAGAAGCCATGCTACTAAGGTTTTGACACTGCTTAAGTGCCTCATTTATACAAATGAGACTTTGTCAGGAAACCAGTTTCTAGCATGGTTAAAATGCAAAGTTAAACCATTTTCATGTTTTCAGTATTTACTACTGAGAATGAAATAAAATCATTAAGTATTCTGTCTATATATTTGGCAGAATTCATGTAATTTTAAAGTATAAAATGATCCATTTTCTTCAAAAAGATTAAAAATTACAATGATTTTCATTGTCCTCAATTCACGTCTCAAATTTTTTTAGTATTATTACATTTTTGTTCATTATCTTCATATGAATCTTGTATTTTAAAAATCACTAATTTACTTTTTGTTTCTGCTATAGTCTTAAGATTATTATTATCTAACATATTAATATCAGTACTTCCAAATCCATTATATCTCTTCAGTTAAACATGTTGACTACTAGCAGTTTTAGGCTGAAAGGATATGATAGGGCATCTAATCCAGATCCCTTATTTTGGTAAGAGAAAGGATTTCCAGTTTTGTGGATTACAGTCACATTTACCAATAGCACTTTGGTAAAATATCATATTGGAATTGGTTTGTTTTTTTCTTTTTTCTCTGCCTATCTGTATACAGGCTATCCCTACCATATCTTATTCTTTGCAATACTTCCACTTTAGGTCCTGTTTCCCTCTGATTTGGAAAGAGAGAGAGTCTTGTAATTATAAATTGCATTCTAGCTCTGAGGAGCTCAGCTAAGAAATAGTCTCTTCATTAAGAGTAACTGGATTACTGCAGAATGACTACAGAAGTAATATTACATTATCGACCATATGAGAGTGAAACCACACAACTGCCAAAAATTGCAGAGAAAGCAATTCAAGACTTTCCTACACGTCCACTATCAAGATTTATTCCTTGGTTTCCTCATGATGGGTCCAGACTTCCACTCAAACCTAAAAGATTACCACCTGTGATTTCTGAAGAGGCAACTGAAGATGTAAGACAGTACTTAACCATTTCAGAACATGATATTAAATTGCAGAGTTATGATTGCACAGTAGATCTACTGGAGTTTCAACCTAATTTGAAAAAAAAGAAGCACTTAATCCGATCACATACACTGAATGAACAGACTAATTCTGGAAGTCTGGATAAACAATCAGAAAAAAGAAAACGTCACAAGAAGAGGTGTTGGAGTGTTTCACTTCCCAGCAGTAATTGTACTGAAAACATTTTTCCTTTGTCTGAAAAATTGCAAGATAGTTTAAAGGCACTAAATTTGCACTCATTTTATAGAGCAAGATGGACAATAGAGCACACTATTTGTAACAACCAAACTCTGGAAGACATTTGGGAAAAACTCAATCGAATTATCAGGTGCAATGAACTTCCATCTTGTAATGCTACAATTCAGAGACATTTAAGCCAGATATGGGTGTTCTGTGATGTTATGTACTGTGAATATGTGGGAAGTCTTCTTAAAGGAAGATTAGCTCTTACTGGGAAGATTAACTTATTTGTGCATAAATATGGTCTTATTTTTAGTATGTAATGAATACCACTAATTGTCAAAAAGAAAAATATTCTGAATGAACTGAGTAGGAACTGAAACAAGTGAATAAATGTTTAATTGTGTGGTAATATATGTACAGTTTGTATCCCAGAAATAAATATCAGGTGAATTCCTAGGCTTGTCACTTAAGTCAGGAACTTTCTGCGTTCTACTTTGAGCAGCCTTCTTTTAAATGAATTGTGATAAATTATTATTTTTACTGAATTTAAAGGTAAAATGTTCTATTCCTTTTGTTCTCTTACTTACCCAGTGGTTGAATTAGATATTCCTATGAATTACAGTGACTAGTTTGGATTTTGGTAAATCCCCAAAATCTAATTTGACAGTATTTTTTCTTTACTCACCTAAAGTGTAATGATTTTTTTAAAAATAAAACTAAAACCAGTTCTGTTGGGAATGGTATTCAAGTGCCATGAATGTGATATTCAAGTTGAGAGACCAGCCCAGATTCTGCTGATATTTCCAAAGATATGTAATAGACAATAGTTGATGTGTTGTTCTGAAACAAAAGTATAAAATGTATAATTTGTCTAAGACCCTAATATATCTTTAAGGCAATAAGCTCTTTTGAAGTAAAGTATCAAGTATGAGTAAGAGATCAAGTTATTCTTTATTTAATACAGATAATTCAATCTTAATGACTGTTATTGCTGATTACTAATGCTCTGGTTCTTGGAGTCATGGGTTTCCCATAGCAAAATGTTGTAAATTGGGTTTACACATCATTTTATAAAAATATTCAAAGTGATTATATAATAAAAGTTTTATTAAAAAGTATATTTATTTAACAAATTTGAATGCGTACCATGAGCTAGGTACTAAAGTAGGGAAGGAGACAAACATGGATCCTGCCCTCACAGAGCTAACATAGAGTCACTATTCTTAAGTAGTTAAACTACATCCCTGATAAAAAACCTGTAAGACTGTACTCATTAGGAAGGCAGAAACACATTTGCCTTGTGGCACAGTGCCTGGCGTGGTAGAGGCTCAATACTACATGGTAAATGTGCCCTTTGGGGAGTTTCTCATAGCCTGAGCTGGCTGAGGTTCCTTAATACATAAGGAGTCTACCAATTTTTTTTTTTTTTTTTTTTTTTTTTGCGGTACGCGGGCCTCTCACTGTTGTGGCCTCTCCTGTTGCAGAGCACAGGCTCTGGACGCGCAG